TGCATTTCACAACTTTGTGGCTTGTTGCTACCCGAACGCCGAGCTTCGCTATCTCTATCTCTTCTCAGTCATCTGTGACTCTCGGTGACTATTGTGTAATCGAAACCACAGGCCAAACACCAAATAAAAATCCAACCCAAGGCCAAGTGAAACTTTTCTTTTCCACTTACCAATAAAAGCCGGGCCAAATTGGGTTTGGTTTCTCACAAATACAAGACCGAATCGACTGGAAATTGTAAATCATTTTATGATTTATCTGTGAACTAGTTTTCGATGGGCGCGTGACAGACACGGGCAATATAGGCCCGTAAAAAGCGAGTTACAAAATATCAAATACAATCGCAAGGGACGACTGAAAACTGAAGCCCGAAGCTGAAGCTGGGAGCAAATCCAAAGCGATCTAATCGCTCAGACCTGCGTTTAACTTTAGCCGAAACCCCATGTAACTGGGAATCTATTTGGGTTATCTGTAAGAAATTTCGAAAAATATCATATTTTGAGATTATAGAGGAAAGATTGGGAAGTGCGATTTAGTTGTTATTGGGGATCGTTTTGAGAAAGAATTAACTAAGATATTCCACATGGTTCTTCTTCTCTTCGATCTTAAGGCCTTAGAAATGCTTAGTTTTTCATCCAACCTTAAAGAACTGGGGATCTTAAGGGTTTATCCGCAAGAACTTTGGCATACTTTGCGGAAAGAGTATAAATCATTAATATAAATTGAGTATAGAGATCAAAAAAACCAAGGATTCTCAAGAATTTCGGAGATAAATAGTGAAAAAATTCATAAAAAATTTACTTTTAACATGCATAACTAATGATCTCGGATTATATGGGTTCCTTTGATTTTCATGACGGAGTTCGAGTTCTCTTGTGGGTTTTTGAACTACAAAATTTCTTCTCTAAAAATTTAAAAATTTATTCTCCTTATAAAAACCTTTAGTAACTCGGGATTTACTTCGTTGATGTAGATGAAATTTTGAATACATGCCAATATCAACTTTATTTAGCATAAGGCAAACAAATATGTGGACTAGTCCCAAGGAACTCATTAAATATAGATGATGAGCAGAAATTCGGTTTATAAGAAGGTAATCCATTAAAAGAAACATAACCAAGGCAAATCAATCAAAATTGAGGGACTAGTCCTAAAGAGCTCTAACAATATCAGTGATAATTCAATGAAAATGGAATAGAAACCCCTACGAAAATCAAAGCCTCCAAACCGAACCCTTATTTAATTTTAAAGCCCACTTACCGAAATTGGCCTCCGATTAACAGTTTAAGCGACAAAAAGAAAGCATAGAAAGGAGAGTAAAAGAGGGTACAACAGGCCAAAAAGCAACACAAAGCCCAAGCCCGAGCCAAAGCCAATCCAAGAGTCAAGACGGTGCCGTCAAAAAAAGATGACGACAAAGCGCAGATTTCTATGATCGTTGTATCTTTTTTGTGTCTATGTGTGTGAAATGCGGAAAGCTGTGTGCCCCAATCATTCATTTGTTACATGAGCAACAAAAAAAAAAAAAATGAAAAAAAAAAAGATTGTGAAAATGTGAAATGTAAATTTCTCGACAAAAACCGAAAACCAAACCGAAAACCGAACCGAAAAACGCCAATTGCTGCAAAGTGATTACGAAAAGTCGAACTCTCTCTGTCCCTGTCTCTCTCTCTCGGGGGACTCTCCCTCTGCGGCTTTCTCACTCTCTCTCTCTCTCGCTGTTTGAAAGTTTCACCTGGAGGCACGAGTGCGGAAGTGATCCCACAGCAGCTTTTTCGGAGTCAACGTATCTGTATCTTACAACTCCATTTCGTATTTAACGGATGCAATGTCAGCGTCTCGTAACTGGTTAATCTCTTGGCTTCGATCTCTTAAGTTTGGTGGGGGGTGGGGGGGGTGACTTCTGCCCATTTTTGAAGGCAATCTCCAAATCAATTAACACTTTCGTTGCGTCGCTGCCCACGCAAAACGCTTACGCTTACGCAGGCAGAGCAGCGACGCCGCGGCGCAGCGGCAGCACAGCCTCCAGTTTTGATTGCTTTGATTTCAATTTTGTCATCTGAGGTGCTTACAATGTTGCACAGTGATGCAGAAGGTGGCCTAAAAGCGATGAGAATCGAGTGAGAGAACATCTCGGCTCTCGTTTCCACCCAAAGAGTTGCTTCCTCGCCTTTTCCGCCACTTTTTCGTACGCTTTTTCGACTCCAATCCACCTTTTCGGAAAACCCCAATTTCAAAGACCACTTGAACCACTGTGCCATGTGGCGGCGCCTGCCTCGATTGTGAAAATTGGGTTATTGTCAGCCAGCAGCAGCGAACCATTCAAGCGGCAGGCAGGCAGGCAGGCATTTTTATTAAAACTTTTTGTTTTATTTATGGAAATTAGTGTCAAGTAAATCATGTGCATGAACATATTGGCACACACAGAAGCAAAAACACTAGCCTGCCCCGTCTACGAGTAGTATTATATCAGCGCATATGGGAAAGCGTTAAATGAAATTTCTATTTCATTGAAAATCGATTGATGATGATGAGTGGCAGCGGCAGGGGAGAGGCAGGGGGTCAGGCGGGTCAGCAGGCGCCGGCCATGATGTTGTGAAAGTTCCAATGAAATTGAAACTCATTGAAGATTCAATGACTTAGTGGAAAAGGTGAACCAGTTGCCATAATGCTTCCGCAAATAGCACTGAAAAACTGAAGGGAAGTTGAACATCGATCGCAGCATACGCCTCCAGCGGCAGCTGCCCCAAAAGGTCACTGAACGTCCGTTTTGTCCATTCAAAAAAGATGAGCAAACTCGAAATACGAATACGATTAGATCCCCCCTTTATATGGCCGTGTGGGGGCGTTGATAACTTTGAAATTGATCGTTGGATGTTCCAACATATGATTCAATTAACGAACGGATTTGCCTTGGAACTTCAGTGACTGTGACTGCGACTGGGCCGTGAACCTTTGCCAGAAACCTTTGTTAAGAGTCTTTTAATTCTCGGTTGGCAACAGAATTCGAGGTGAAACTAGACCCACGTTTGAGTTGGCTAAAGGTCTCCCCAGGAAAGCTGCGTTTGAAGAAGTTTCAACCGAGGTGCGACCACCGCATGACGCGTGAGGAAGTAATACCCAGTAATACCCTCAGCATTTGCGGATAACTCAATTATGCCAACGATTTCGCAAGTTTTCGAGCCCACTCCGCCTACCCCCGACTGTGGGGGGCACTTTGAACCATTTGCGAGTGTGCAATGGGTTCGCATAACTCGACTTTCAACACCTTCGGGGCGTCACAACATCAAAGGGCGGGGCATTACTGTCAAATTTTCACACATTCTAGCAAAATGCCACAGAGAGCGACCAGAGGCTGCATGGTCTTGGACGTGGACCGACTGAAACCATCTAACTAATGAGCAGGCAAACAGACAGACGGTCAGTGGAATGGCCACACGTGTGGATTGGTCATGGGTGATTGTTGCAAGAGGTCGCACGGAAGCTGCAACTAATGCGAGATATCTCCAGTGCCAGTGCGTGTGTGGCCATTACCTAAAAGGACACACACGAAGCCCTTTTGGCCTTATGCTAATTCGCAGGCCATAAATGAGACGGATGGTGCCGTCGAGTGGCAAGTGGTGTGCGAGTAGTTGCAGATGCAGTGTATCTGTATGTGTATCTGTAGCTGTATCTGTAGTTGTGGTAAGTGGAAAAGTGCTGGTGCTGCGGCTAGCTATGGAGTGCCAGCACGGAGGCAGGGGGTCCCAACGCACTGCCAGCGACATGTGTTGCAAGTGCCACCGACAACGCCCCATTTGGATACACACACACACAGGCGCAAAGTAGGATGTGCCACCCCAAAAAAGTGACAAAAGAGAAGGCTAAAGGGGATTGGTCCGACCATGAGATACCCTGTAATCAGAGAGATGGCTTCGTCTATAGGGTATCGAAGGATGGCCAAAAGCTTATGTGTTCCAATGTCAATCGTTCCAACAAAGAAAATCTCTTGTGTGGGTGGCGATAACTGTAATTCAAAGATATAGGAACTGAAGGGAAGGCCGCCTGCCGCGGTCCCATTGAAGAGCCACATGAGGAAGGGGGGGTGGAGGCCAGAGGCAGAGAGAGCGATAGAGATAGAGAGCAGAGCAAGAGCGAGAGCCGTATTTTTTGAATGAGCGAGTGAAACGCAAAAATGAGTAGATAGAGCGTAAAAACGGTCGAACCGGCCGAGCGAACTCGAACATCGACACGAACCGCTGGGCTATGGAAAGGTGCGCACAGCGAGGAACAACGGCCCCAGCAACATTACAAAGCACACACGCACCTCACCTCCCCGTGTTTGATCCACAATATACCTTGCATGCGCTGAGTTTTCTGTGCCGTTTTGCCAGTTTTCTACCTTGCCGGCAACACGTTTTCTGGCAGCATGTGGCCGAGCAACATTTTGTAAGCAGCAGCAACACTCGCTGGCGGGACGGGCGTATTGAAACGGCCTTGCCTCGCGAACACGATTAAACATGTCCAATCGTTTGCCGTTATTTGAGTCGAGAAGTTGCCTGCTCTGTCGCACCAGCCAGCTTTTGAACTGCACGGTTGCTGCGCGAGCGTCAAATAAGTTAATAAGAAATAATAAAAGTACAAAAGTTTATAAATTTTAACGTAATTTTAACTTTGGATCCCTCTGCCGGCCGTAACGTCAGTTGTTCTGCTCTCCTCCGCCCTGTTTTCGGCCCGTTTTCGTGTGTCGTTCGCCTCACCAACCAACAAAAACGAAAAAGATACAAAGATACAAGATACAACCAAAAATCCAAAGCACACACTCGAAAAATTATACAAAAAAAAAGTAAGGCTTGTGGAGCAATGTGTGGCACAAGAATTTGTTGAAATGAATAAGAATTGAAAAAAAATTGAGTAATTTTTTATCGAAATTAAAAAAGCAAAATCCATAAAAGGTGTACTCTGTGTGTGTGTGTAAATATATATCCATAAAGAAAGAGATAAAAGATAGATTTGAATCTTTTGAATTGAAAGTAAAATGTTTGAGCCTTATGTGAAAATCAAGAAAAAGCGAAATGTCCATGAAATTTATCAACAAAACAACGAGAATTTAGAAAGGGAACGGGACCAACCACAGCAGGAGCCGCAGGAGTCGCAGGAGGATAGCAGTGATAATTGTTGCTGCCTGGAGGAGGTGCCCCCAATAGCACCAGGGGAGGGCGCCCCAGTGGCAACAGCAACAGGAGGAGCCAGCAGCAGCAGCAGTGGAAACTGCAGCCGATTGCAGCAATTGATTTCCACGCCGCCAGTATTATTGCGTAGATCTTCGCTGTCGCCGCCGCACCAGCAGCACCACCAGCATCCACAAGGGGGCAACTCTCCTTTGCACCACCTTCCGCCACAAGCTGTAAGCACACCACCGCCCACACCACCCACACCGCCGCACCACCAGCAACTGCAGCAACATCTAGCTGCTGCGCCTTCAGTTTTGCAACAGCATTTGGGTCACCTGAATTACGAAAGTGGAGCAACTGCAGCAGCAACAATAGCAGCACAAGCGGCAGCAACAGCAGCAGCAGCAGCAGCGGGAGCTGGCACCAGTCGAAGTGGATCGGCAACACTGGCACAGCATTTGGCAACACCCAGCAACATATTGCAGGCGGCGTACAGCAGTGGCAGCAACAACTTGCAAAATATATTGACGCGCTCACAAAGTTCCTCCACCTCCTCCTCCTCCTCCTCCGCCGCCGCCTCCTCCTCACACGTTGCAAGCACCACCTCGGCCGCCGCATCTGCATCTGCCTCATCGTCCAGTTCCTCCAACAATAACAATTGCAGCAGCGCCTGTGCGGGGAATACCCATTACAACGGTGGCAGCAACAACAGCAACAGCAGCAGTCACCACAGCAACAGCATCATAGCCAGCCGCTTGTTTGGGGCAGCATCATCCTCTTCCTCATCGGCCAGTCCCTCCTCCTCCTCCTCTTCGTCGTCGTTGTCGTCGTCGTCAGCGTCCCACCTGCCGTCATCGTCGCCTCATCATCTGCATAGCCATCATTCCGCGTTGACCAACTCCATCACGAATCGCATCAATCAGAGTATACGGCGGCATCTCAATCAGCAGCAGCATCATCCCATCAGCGCCTCCTCCTCGTCCTCCTCCTCAAGTGGCACGTCGTCTCGTTTGCCGCATTATCAGACGCAACAATCGCCAATCCACCAGCAACAGCAGCAGCAGCAGCAGCATTATAATTGCACTCATCCTGGACAGCAGCAGCAGCAGCAACATCATCATCATCATCAGAGTAGCAGCAGCGGCCATCATCATCATCAACAACAGCAACACCACCAACACCAACACCAACACCACAGCATTAACCACAACAACAACAGCAGCAACAATCAACAACAACAGCAACCGCAACAATCTCCTCTGTGCCTAGTATTATTAGTTAAATGCCCCAATTCTAAGGAATTTTGTAACGCAGCCGCCGCAAATTTCTGTGATAAAAGGTAAGGGATACACCAAAAAAAAAAAAATGGAACGTACTATTGTTCTTAAGTGTGGCATGTGGCATGTTAATGAGAACACAGCAGGCACAACGAATGCTTAAATGCCATCGAATGACATTTTGTACTATAATCTTATGTGAATCTTTTACACCTCTAAATGGTGGCAAAAGCTAATGGAATTCAGGCAGAAAAGTGGCAAAAGCTAATGGAAATCACGAACAAATGTGTCAGAATATATTCAGGAATGTTTTAGAGATGTGTAAATGATAATATTTGAACTGTTAAAGGTTCAAAAAAGAACCTCTTCGAACCGATACAAGTCTGAAAAGTGAGGAATCATGGGAAAATCGAGGAAAATTCTAAAAAAAAAAAAAGATGGAACAGATTGGAATATGAGTAAAATATATTTTTAAAAGGTTCTTAAATAGAAAACCTCCACAAAAAGTAAAGACACATAAGTTTCATTATACAAAACTTTATAAAAGTGGGGGAAAGTCTATTTATAATCCAATAGAATGACTATAGAACCAATAAAACTCCCTCAAACCATAGAAAACCATCACCTTCCATCAGATATGTATATGATCTCACTAAGCAAACAGGAAAACCCTCACATAAACCCTTGGGGGCATAGCAACAAGTCCTGAATTATGGCACATTTCACTCAGTTTACGAAGGACTTCTAGGGCAAACAATCATTAGCAGCAAATCGAATGGTAAATGCTCTTGAGATGTGCCGCCTCGCTTGTGGGGGTACGACTATGACCCACTTTGGTATTCTTTGGTATTCAGGCAGCAGGACCTGCCCTTCTATCCTGCCCTGAAATACATTCGGCATACACTCGTACTCGTAAGCCCATTGTCACATCCTTGAGTTGCTGGAAACCACCAGGCAGCAGGCAAACCACTGAACAAACAAAACTTTTCATTGGTACTATTTTGTATGTTTGTCCGTATATTATTTTTGATGACTTGTGAGTTTTTCTGTACCGAGTAGTAGACCTCGATGGATGTGGGGGTTTGGTTTTTTATATACGGCTCTGACCTTACTTTTGCGTAAGTAATTGGTTTCCTTTCCTCCATGAAACTTGATGATGATTTGCCTACTGAATCTCTATTGATTGGTGGTGGCACGTGGTGGTCACTGATCAGCCCCAGCCCTAAGCCTTAAGCCACCCTCTCTTTCGCTGTCTCTATAGATGGGTTTTCCCTTGCCCTGAAAATGTCGTAATATTGCATGGGCGTATAAACACAAAACTTAAGTAATTAAGTTTTCTCTCACTCCCCCACGCTGTACATCACCTTCCTCATCTCTATCTATCTCTCTCTCTCTCTCTCTGTCGCTCGCTCTGCCACCCCTAAGCATGCTTTTCTTTGAGCTTTCACGCACACACACACACGGGGAAAAGCTGACCCCAAAAGGCGTTCGCCTAACCTCAAAAAAAAGTATAACAATTTGGTAAACAACAAAGAAAATGTTTGTGTTTTATGCTGATGCGTTTTGTTTACCGTTTCATCCATTGAGTGGGACTCAATTTTCGGCTAATTAATGGGCGTGGAGACCAGCTGTTTTTTCAGTCATTAAAGAAATGAACAAGAAAGGGAAAAAGCGAGAGAGCGGGAGGAGAGTAAAGGCAAGAGAGAAAGGGCTAGAGAGAGAGAGTGAAACAGAGAACAAGATTGTGAGGTGCTGGAGAATTGAGACCATGGCTATGGCTGCTGCTGGTGGAAACACAGAGGGAGACGAGACGAGACGAGACCTCTTTCTTAATGCTTTTGACCATGTGCCACAAAATTGTTAATGTGCTTTTGCCCCTCCCCCCCCTTCACCCCACTTGCTGCACTTGTTGCTCATGGCCTTGCTGGAGTGAAATTCTCTGATAATCAAGAACAAAAAGCATTTCTTTGTGCCGCCTCTGAGTCATGGATGGGCGGGGGGGGGTCTTTGGGTCTTTATCAGTGCCTTGGCCCCACATTGACGTCTGCGAATGGACAGGCGCGCACGCACACAGACACACAGGATGGGTGCATTGACAGCATGCTGCAGGGTGTACACTGTACAGGGTGTCTGCTGTCATTCTGTTTCGCTCTGTGGTTTTTTGGGGGGACCAAACGGGAAGTCTGCTTCACTGAATTTTTGCTGCTGTGAAAGGGCTCGCTCTTGGCGGCTGGCAACATTTGTTGCTGGCAACATTATGCAATGACCTCTTTCAACTTCCGCTCTCCGCTCCACCTATCCATCATAGCTCCCTTTGAAAGGTGAAGGTACCTAAGATATGATACTTACTGGAGGGGAAAGAAATGAAAGTTGATATTTCCGAACACTTATTGAAGAAAACCACAGTTTAAAAACACTATTGTTCAGCTATCAGCGGTTTTTGAACAAAAATGAACAAACAATACTAAAACCCCATGTCTTAAACATTTTAAAACGCTATTATTCACATGCAATAAATGCATTTGAAACGTTTCAAGCTTTCAAAAATTAGTAAAATGTATAAAAAAAAAAACCATCCAACTTTTCATTTCACAAATACAAAGCAGTGCATAATCAAACTGGTGTGAATCACCAGAATTTCCGAAAAATCTCCAGTACATGTTGATTTTCACCAAATTATTGTTATCTCTTTCACTTATTTACTGATATCTGGTGTGTGGCTGCAATGCAACTTTCCCATTTTTGTGACTGGTGCCCGCCACGGGCTGTCGTCTCCCATTTATTTTATATAAATTATTGAAAACTTTCAAAAGTCAAAGCGAAATTAAATTCATTAACATAGTCGCTGTCCAACATTTTGTTAGTGCTGCTGCAGCATGCGGATCTGATGATAACATGTTGCATTGAGAATTTACAATGGTTTTTCTCAAGGAGTGTGATATATCTTTTCCCAATAGGATCTTATCTCCTTATTTTAACAGCCATTTCGCTGATATTTCTTATTGCCACAATCTACGATCTGCGAGAGGAGTATCTTTTTCGCTTTGGCCTCCATTCTTTTTAGAGTAATTGCTCTTTCGAATCGTGTATCTTGAACTCTGCTAGAGGTGCAGATACAAATTCAGGAGGAGTTTTCACTTTGCTTCAGCACAGCACAACATTTCACCCAATAATCGTAAAACGAAAAATCTGCCTCGCTCTCTCACTCAACCCACATTTTATTTAGAACAAATCTCTTGGAAATCGGGCGAAAAGCAAACAAGAATTTCTAAGCCAATAAAAGACAGAGACGGACAGGGGCAGGGGCAGAGGGTGAGGGAGAAGACAGGCAGTCGTCTTTAAGCCAAATACAGATCACGAAGACGCATTGCGCCTAAAGAAAAAGTAGTAGAAATCCAAAGAGCAACCACGAAGCGGAGAAAAAAAAAAAAAAGAAAGCACGACAAAAACAAAATGTGAAAACGCATAAAGCCAATTTCTTGCCATCTCCCTCTCGCTCACCGCTCTCTTCAGTGCCGCTCAATTTGTTTAGAAAGTGCAGAGAAGCAGGTAAAAGCGGCAAAATGCAAACAAGAAAGCTCCGGCTGGGCGACGGGTGTCGGGCAAAAGTTTGCCCCAAAAAATGTTTGAATGGGAAAATTGGGCACACATGGAGCATGTTGCTTATTAATTTATTGATTTCATCACGATGATGAACATAGCAATTGGTCATAATGATGTTTGCCAGCGCCGCTCAAACTTGTTATACAACAACAACCACAACAAAGAAAACACTAAGAGCCACGCGCTACAACTCGAACCAAAGAGAGAATCACAAAAGAGAGTCGAGGTGCACACAGAGAGAGCCTCAAGCCTCGACGACGTCATCAAACAAGTTTTTGACTCGCTTTACGATTACATAAAAGTGTTGCTCTCGTTTCGAACTGCGGCTGCGGCTTCGGCTTCGCACTCGGCTTCGTGTTTGCTTACGATCGGGTGAAAACGTTCGCTGCCCACCTACGCGCCTGCGCACAGTCCGGGCCATACAAATAAGCCCAGGGCAGCGCAGCGCAGCGGCGTTGGCGCCGACGTCGTGATGTTGCTCATTTTTTATGCTGCCTGTAATTTTTACGTAATCGAAATATGTTTTCCCCTCATTATTATTTGCGGTTAAAAAATGGTCAACTTTCATTTATGCTGCAATGCCCCCCGAACCGAACCGAACCAAAAAAAGTGTCAAACAAATGTTGCAAGCCACGCCCACGGCCTACTTTCGAGCAAACACAAAGTGTGACAAAGGCCTCGTCTTCAGTTGATTAGCATTTCAAATCCACAAAAAAAAAACCAACAGAAAAAACTAAGCCACGGCAGTTATGTAAAAATTAACAGCATAATCGTATTATGCGTGGAAAATGGGACGCGATGACCATTGTCACATGCTGATGACGAGAGATCTGTTGAAATTAATTGCGATTTATAAGGCCAGAGAGTTGAAGCTTCAAGATGGCATATAAATCTATTGAAAAATGGTCAAAGGAATATTTTCTCTAAAAGCACGACAAATGATAATTGTCCACCCCAGGAAAAGTCCCTTCATTAGAGCTTTCACTTTAACTAGATTTACAACAAAACATGTGTCCATTTAGGGTCATATTCCAGCTCCCTAAGGGAGTCTTGCAAAGTTTTCCCTGCAATCAAGGATCATTTAAGAGGTTAATGTATGGAAACATAATTTCCCAAACTTTCAATTGTTTCCATTAGTGCAAACAATGCAAATACAATCGAATAGGCCCAAACAAGGTAAAAACAGCAAAAACATCGAAACAGAAGGCAAATTTCACTCCACTTACATGATTTCGTACGCTTTATATAACAACAAAAGCAACAAAAGCTCAGCAAAGGGGCAGAGGCGGCAGCGCAGGCGACGACGACGCTGTCGACTTTCACGAAAACTGCAGGCAAAACTGCATATGCGAGAGCGAGACAGTGAAAAAGGAGAGGAGCTTTCTCTCCCTCTGCAAAAACGCAATGCGGATCGTGGATCGTATCGTGGATGGTGGATTGCAGAGGGGGGGCAGGTAGGGAGGGCAAAAGGCAAATGGACGGACGATCGGCTTGAGTGAAAGACCCCAAAACGAAATCCAAAGAAAACGAAGCACAACAAATGGAGAAAAACAAAAGCGATAACAAAAATGTTGAGCGTGGGAGTTTTGAAAATTAATATGCGTCAACTCTTGACGACACTCCAGGGAAGGGGGGAGGGCTGGAGAGAAATTGCATGCGTTGCCTCTTCTCTCTCTTTCTTTTCTTCGGGTGGGTGGGTGTCATCGTGGCTGCTGCTGAAGCGTTTGCTGCTGCATTTGTAGCGGAAGTGATGTTGTCGGTTGTTCGTTGTTTGGGGAGCAAACGAACCGAACGTGTTGGATGGAAGGAGAGTTTCTCTTTTGAAATCATTTTCATTGGCATGAAAGTTCACATTATTTAAATTAAATTGCCAACCGGCGACGCTTCTTCCTCTTGTCGCGGTGTCTCTCCCTCTCTCTCTCTCTGCCCCGCAAGAAAAGGTGGGATTTCTTTGGGTCGAAGCTGTGGGTACCCTTGAAAATATATCATACATATATCCCTCGTCCAGGTAATAATAAGGTACTTAATTGTTACAATCGTCATGGGGCTTCCAACAGACGCCATTGAAAGGGTAGGAAATCCCATTCCCTTTCTTCGCTGAAAACTTTTCATCAAACACATAATGCCCTACTTCTGCTAGGGTATCAAATATGTGTCTTTGCATTTACAATATGTAAAAAGAAAAGCGTTTCCTTTTGCTCGCTCACTCAGCGACAGCAGAAAAGCGTTTTTCACTCCGCTCCATTCATTTGTTGTTGCTTTGGTGGTGTTTGGTGTTTGGGCGGCGAGTGAAAGGAGGCATTTGTTGTTGGTGAAAACTTTTGTGGCAGCCGCCATGCAAGTGAAAACTCATGCGATAATTTGTTGTAAAGAAAAAAAATGAAAAATTTTCACCATTTTTGCTGTTTCGTTTATTATTGCCTTTTGTTGTCGACATTCGTTCGCTGTGATTGTTGTTGTAGTTTTTATCAAATTTCATTTAAATGCTAATGAAAAGTGTCCGGAAGTTGTGGAAAGCGCCAAAGCGAGTCGCTCAAATTATATAACTTTTCCTCTTTTCTTTTTTGGCGGAAAGATTTTGGTGAAAATTGTGAGCCGCACACACTCTTTATCTCTCCCAAACCCCTGCGCTCTCTTTGGAGCAGCTGCTGGCAAATCAATTTATCCTTCTCCTTGTTCCCCCTTCCTTTCTTTATCTCCTTCCTCCTTTCGCTTAAGCCGATTAATGAGATTTATTTAACGCGTGCTGCCCCTCCTCTGCTGCGCCGTTTCTTCATTTGTCATAAATTCCCTCTGCTTTTTCGTTCTTCCTTCATCTTGTGCCCTTTGTGAGAGAGCCAGCCCACACAAAGGCAGCGAAAGAGAGGAAGACGGCGCTGCTCATCTGTCCGCCGAGGATCGCCCAGGGTGATCTCCTCTCCCACTCCCACTCTCGCTGTGCCTTCTTCGTGTCCGTGTCCAAGTGCATTCGTTGCGTCTCAGCTGTCGGATGTTTGAACAGGCGCGTCCTCCCGCATTAGGCTGGTCCCTAACTACAGTACAGGGCAGCACATCTTGTTGATATTGGGAAGGGTCAGCATTTGTGGGTTTGCTTTGGACCATGGCTAATGGCTTTTGGCAGCTAAGCAAGCAAAGCTAATGGCATGACTGGGAGAAATTAAATGGAAAGGAATTTGCATTCAGATGTGTGTGTGTGTTTGCTAAACAAAATTTCATTATACATAATTACATTTTGACTCAAAATCTTCTCAGTCGGAGGTATTGAAGGTATGAAAGTAATAGAATTTGCCACTCATTTGGTATTTTCATTAAGTCTTGAAAAGTCGTTGAAGGTCCACCCCAATGCACAGCGCAGTACCTCGTCATCACGCGGAGAGGGGCAGAACCTTACCTTCCTCCTGCTGCTACTGTCCATTAAGCTTCGGCTTCTGGAGCTTAACCTTCTTATGCCCCCCTCCCCCGCCCCACATATTGTGTCATTTGCCTTGTGGCGCCATATCCAAATGATTTTCAATGCCACAACGAAACAAATTTTTTTCGGCTCTTGGGCCCTTGAGAGAGGCGAGGCAGAGGCTACAAACACAGTGAGAAAGAGAGAGAAGAGGCGGCTTAAGGTAATGGCTGATTGTGTGTGTTGGTGTTTGTGTGCGTGCCTCAATGCCAAATCAATGTCATTAACATTAAAGCACACTCACTAAAAATTGAACAAAGCGGCCTGCGAGTGCTAAACAGTGGAGTTGCGCTGCCTGCGTTGGCTTCTCTGCTGACTGATGACTGCTCTGCTCTGCTCAGTCGCTGCTCTGTCGGCAGTTGGTTTTACGGTTTGTTCACCTTGACGAAATGCGCGTCAAGCGTCAACCTTTTGCTCTGGCTGTATGACAGCTCACACATGCAAACGCACGCAGAGAGGGAGACAGAGGCCCATCCCATTGAAGGTCCTTCCAGCTGGATTTGATGATGGCCATCAAAATCGCCAGCCCAGCAGCCTGCCATCACAAGGTACATATACGCAGGAGGGGGTACATATGTACATGATACCCTTCAAGCGGCTCTCACTGCCCTACCTTCCATTAAATGTACCCTGTGCCAACGCACCTTGAAAAATCTCAACCTTGCGGGAGAGCAGAACACACGCTATTATTGTTGATGCTGGTGGCGCAGCCTTGTACAGATTTTCCGAGTTTTCCTCCGCTTAATTGTACAAAAAGTGCTGCTGCCGCGGCTGCCGCTGCTTCTGCTGCTGCTGCATCTGCGCCTGCTTGCAACTCCGACACAAACGAGACGAATGTGTTTTGTTATAGTGTGGCAGATCTACCTATACCTAAACCTATCTCTCCCTCTCCTGAGCATCACCTTCGCCCTCTGCATCGCTGACCCATTGTTTGTCAATTTTCCACTCTTGGCTACAATTCTGGCTGTTCTGTTGGCCCTTTGTTTGCTGTCATCTGCAGAGCCTCTTCTTTGCCTGTTTTGTGTCCTTAGACACGGATTTCCTTTCGTTTCCTTTAGATGTTCCAGGTCCATCAGTTTTCTTTTGCTGCTCCTGCGCAACGGTTGTGTTTTTCTTCGATTGTGATATTCCTGCCAGCCGCTTTTTCTCTGTTTCCCAGTTCGTCCCCAGTCAAAGCACATCGAACTTTGAAAGCTTCCAAAGCTTCACTCCGACAGCTTCTTACTGTGATCGAACTGCATATACTGCCATCTCGCTTCGTTCTACACGCATTCCATCTGCCTCCCTCACACGCCCACGCTCTCAAGCGCTGACTAATTAACGGAATAACGGTTAACGTTTGAGATTCCTTCGTTCCGCCATTCCACAATTATGATTCCACGCTGCTGCTGCTGCTACTGCACTTTTTGGCGCATTTCGTTTTGTGTTGTCCTCGCGTTTGTGTCGTTTTAATCGTGTTTTTTTAACTGAAAAGATTATTCTTGTTAATTTGTCGTTAACCTCGCTGATTTTGTTCCGTGTTTTGTGTGCGTGTATTTTAAACGGGCGGCAAGCTGGAGAACTCCCTGCTGTTGAAGCTGCTCAATCTACTCGCGAGGCACTCGACTTCTGACTCAAATTTTGTCAAAGTTGAATTCGAGCGCAGTATCATGGATCTAATACAAGAGCCAAGGTGAAACCACACGAAACATATACGATTTTAGTTCGGGAAAAAATCCAAAGAATCAAAGACGTTTTCCTACCCTAAATTCCTTCTTGTCTTTCCCTGTCTTCTTTAATCTCCATTTGATTTCTCTGTTGCCCCTCTTATCTTCTGCTTCTCCGTTTTTTCTACAAGAGCCATGCACCTCTCTATGGCTAAGTTTATTTTATCTTTATATCATCCAAGAAGACTTTCCTAACATTTTAATACATTGAATATCTCTCCAAAGCCTGCTTTTATCCATCTCTCGTACTTTTCCTCTGCTCCTTACTCTCTAAGAAAATATAATGGCATACAGTTTTTATACAACCGAAACAAAATGGTTACTTAACCACAAAAAAAAGTTATCAATCTCTCTATATCTCTTCTTTCTGTTCTACTTTAAATAAAAATATGTATTATGTAGAAAAAAAATGGTATATATCAATCCTAAAATGTGTGTTTTTGATTCGTTTTTACAGATTGCCGGTGAACGAATGTCAGGCAAGCCAAACAGCTAGAGTAACCTCGAACCTGCACGCATCCAGTAGCACGATGGCGGTCAGCCGTGTACCCTCGCCGCCCTTGCCGGAAGTTAATACGCCAGTCGCCGAGAACTGGTGTTATACGCAGGTAAATCCGACTCCCAATCCTCGTCCTCGTCCTCGTCCTCATCCACAAACTCCCTGCCTTCCTGCCGATAATCCCACAGAAGGGATTAAATTTCCCTCCCTATACATATACAAATGTCCGTCTGAGCATTCCTCTGGGTGTGGATTTTTGCATTCCTATGGATTTGCCGATCGAATTTCACAATTTTTCGTGTAAGCTGAATCCATTTTGTTGTGTGCCGGCGGTAAATGCATTTCCTCTTTGGGCTACAGGTGCGCCGTGCGGTGCGGCATTGATGTTGGGGGAGAAATCTGAGATGGTCTCCCAGGAAGGAGATGTAAACTGAAAATTGTACTAACTCTCGCCACATCCTCTTCTCATCTTTCCAGGTTAAAGTGGTTAAATTTAGTTATATGTGGACCATAAATAACTTTAGTTTTTGTCGGGAAGAGATGGGTGAGGTACTCAAATCGTCCACATTCTCAGCCGGTGCTAATGACAAACTGAAATGGTAAGGAAATCACAGCTTACAGAGATCTATAATATCTATAATGTATTTCCTCTCTTCGCTGTTTCGCTTCCAGGTGTTTACGGGTTAATCCAAAGGGCCTCGACGAGGAGAGCAAGGATTACTTATCATTATATTTACTATTAGTTTCGTGTAATAAATCAGAAGTCAGAGCCAAGTTCAAATTTTCCATACTGAACGCGAAGCGTGAGGAGACCAAAGCCATGGAATCCCAAAGGTAAATCCATCAATCTCCATCATTTGAGGATCTCCATTCATCACTAATCAATCAACCACACATCTGGTTTACCTTTGTAGAGCTTACCGTTTTGTGCAGGGCAAAGATTGGGGCTTCAAGAAATTCATACGACGCGACTTCCTGCTGGACGAGGCCAACGGCCTGCTGCCGGAGGACAAGCTAACGATCTTCTGTGAGGTTAGCGTCGTGGCGGACAGTGTTAACATCTCCGGACAATCCAATATTGTGCAGTTCAAAGTGCCCGAGTGCAAGCTCTCCGAGGATCTTGGCAATCTCTTTGACAATGAGAAATTCAGCGATGTGACGCTCTCAGTGGGCGGTCGAGAGTTTCAGGCGCACAAGGCCATACTGGCAGGTAAGCAGAAGAACTTTAAACCCTTAAGCCATCATTTGGGAATCGCTTTAACCCACACGTGTGTTTATTTATGATATTTTCAGCGCGCAGCGATGTCTTTGCGGCCATGTTTGAGCATGAAATGGAGGAGCGTAAGCTGAATCGTGTCGCCATAACCGATGTGGATCATGAGGTTCTTAAAGAAATGCTGCGATTCATATATACGGGCAAGGCGCCCAATTTAGAAAAAATGGCTGATGATCTCCTAGCGGCTGCTGATAAGGTAAGAAAATCCTCAGAATTGCTACTTTTTGAATTGTGTTTAATCTGGAAACTCTTTTTTCCCCATTACAGTATGCACTCGAAAAGCTGAAAGTGATGTGCGAGGAGGCGCTGTGCGTCAATCTCTCTGTTGAAACAGCAGCCGAAACATTAATATTAGCTGATCTCCATAGTGCGGATCAATTGAAAGCACAAACGATAGATTTCATAAATACGTAAGTGCTTTAAGCCATTATTTTTCTGCCTTTGGGTTTCCCTTACTTATCTTTGGGTTTTCCCTCTTTCGTACAGTCATGCCACCGATGTGATGGAAACCTCTGGATGGCAAAATATGATCACAACACATTCACATTTGATAGCAGAGGCATTTCGTGCACTCGCAACACAACAAATCCCACCAATTGGACCACCAAGGAAACGCGTGAAAATGAGCTGAAACCACACTTCAACAACAACAACAACAACAACAACAACAACTATAACTGCAAAAACAACAACAACAGCAAACCCTAAAGCAACACCAACAACAACACCAATAGCAACCTACAAGAATCAAAGCAATATACTATATGAAATTTACGATAAATGCAACAATTTGTTCGATCGATTGGCAGCTAACCTCAAGAGAAAATGCCGCAGAACAGCTACAGAAACAATAATTACACCCACAACAATCAATTATTTGAACAACAGGCAGAAGAATACAATGAAACGGGAAACGGAGTTAGAGTTAGAGTTGAAGAAAGATGGAAATATGATGGAAATGAGGAGCAGGAGCAGGAGCAGGAGCAGGCAGTACCCTAAATTGTTTCGATTTTTGAGTAATTTAATTCATTTTTTAACATAAAACCTTGATTCTAATTGTATTTTTATTTTAATTTTGTTGAATTATGATTATGATCCTATGATTAGAATGTTTACGAGTAATAATTATCCATTAATTCTACGTTTAAGTCCAACAAACAAAAGAAACAAACAACAAAAGTACTAAGTAATATAAAGAAAGAGAGCAGAAACACAAAAAGAAAGTTGAAAATATAATATAATATAATATAAAATAAAGTAAAAGAGTAAAACGAGCGATTAAGAAATCCATCAAAAATGAAATAAACAAACAAACAAAACAAAAACAAAACAAAAAAAAAACGGAAAAGCAAACAGAAAATGCAATGAGAGAAAAACGCAACTATTATTATTATTCTAATTGTAACGAATTATGATTACCGATTACAAAGCGTACACCTTGATTGTGATGTATATTCGATGAGAGAGAGAGATCATGAATATGAATATGAATATGATGAGGATGAGGATGAGTATGACTAATGTGTGGAGTAACGAATAACGAATAACGTGTAATGATGAGTATGTAATTGAGTAATGCATAATGATACGGATATGATAATGAAGTTGATTTATACTATATTGTGTGTGTATATGTAAACTCGGAAACAATTTTCTCCGTTCTCATTCAAGGTTTAATTTCACCTCATATCCAAAACCCCACTCTCCTTCTTTGGCGGAGGAGTGTGTAGTCTGGAGAGACCATTAGAACCCAGTATGAATCCACTAAATGGAGCTCTACTTCCTACCATCGTTAAAGCGTTTACCGTGTGAAAAGGTCCATCAGAAGAGCTCCTCTTCTCCTCATTGCAAAACGAAATATCATACCCCCAATGCTACCACCGCTACCACACCCTTTTACACCCACCAACATCCTCCTTTCGGATCCCTAGAAGGAAACCAGAACCTTGTTCAGACCTTCTTTGCTTGTTTTTCTCTTTTTCTGTCTTACACGTTTGTTTTCATAATTTAAACGGAACAACTTTTATCTTTTCGTTTAAGCGCAAATGTAATTAATTTGTTGTACAAAACTCTTAAAAACAAAACAAAAAACTAAAACTATCATAAAATAAAAGCAAACCGTAGCAATTTGTGTATAGTAAGCAGATAAAAACCACAAACAAAAAACAATAACGCATCAATTCATTCATTCATTTTGTGGCATTCCAAGCGAATGTGAGGTGGGACTGAGGTGGAGGACGGACGGATGGCTACAGCAGATCCTCCCATTAGTAGCTCCTTACCATAGAAACTGCAACTGCAAGCAAGATCGAACGAATAAAGTGACAGACAGTAAAGTAAACGTGATAACAGCTTATCTAAACTAAAGTAAACTTTAAAGTAATTGAGACAATTTTTTATGCTAAAATGCAAATCGTAAGAACACATAAGTACTCCTAGGATCCTGGGATCCTGGGATCGTGGGAGTGTGTCAAATTCAGGTATTCAGGAATCAACATTGTAGAGAAAAGAACAAGAACAACAACAACAACAACAAACAATAATGATAGTGAAAAATGCAAATACAAATGCTTTCCATTCAATATCGTACTTCCGATTGCATTAGCCGAAAATGTATATAGAAAAACTCCTCTTGCCTTAGTCGTCGCATCAATTCCATTTTGTTTCGACTGCACAAGAATGCTTTAAATCCGTGTATGTGCCGTGTGAGTGTATAATATTAGCCAAGGAATAGGGATTCCGGGAAGAGCATCTATATGTTTGCTATACGACTATTTGTTTCACCTTTCCCTCTCTGTTTGAGTGTTGAATCACGATTGAGAGTGGGCTTTACCAACCATGCCAATCCATTATTTGCTCTGCAGGAAATTGAATGGGGAGCGGAAACAGCGGGTAGATCGGTTTGGAAATACAAAATCAAAACTTATGATCTAAAATATATACATACATCGTATACATGTATCTAGCAAAGCAAGAAACGGACACCAACAAAATCAGATACAACTTTTATGCATGCGCGTCAATCTAAATGTGTAGCAAAGCCGAGTGAGAGGAACTCATCGTAAATCTAATTGAAATCTACCATAAATTAAAGTAACTTCGAATGGGCAATACAAGTGAAAGCAACACACGACATTTTTAAAAAGCAAAATTGTAATTGTATTTAACAATATTAGATAATAAATTAATATGTTCTAAAATGATGCGACGGCCTATTCCTATTTCTTCTCCTGTTCCTCCAGGAACTGTTGCAGGAGGTCCCCATCAATGGGAATGTTTAGCTGCTCCGAGCCATCGACACTGCGCTTCGACTTGACCAGCTTGTGGTCCAGGAACTCCGTGAGCTGGGCGCGCAATGCCAGATCCGAGCTAACCAAAAAGGACTCGCGGCAGTTTGAGTAAAGATCCTTGAAGGGCATACCCTGGTACTGGGCATTGCCCTTGTTCTTCAGCTGGTACTTGACAATCAGCATGTAAATGCCGCGCGAGTTGGTCGTCAGCGAACAGAAGACACTGCGCATCGAGGACAGAGCCAGCTCGCCAGAGTTCTGCACCAGCAGGGAGTTCTCGAAGGCCGTCTCGTCCGTGTAGGGCAACATGGTGGTGCAGTCCCACCAGGAGAAATTAAAGTTGCTCAGCTTGCCCTGGTCCCACACTGCAGGCGGAAAGTAGAACATTAGAAAACGGACCTTAGGGAGCAAGGAGTGCGTGAGTACTTACGCAGTGGTGTGTTGATGTGGTCGATGGAAGCCAGCAGATGGATGTTGGGCACACGCGCCAGCCGCGACAGTATGGCCTGAGCCTTCACATTCCGTAACATCGCACCGTCCAGGTTGTGCACGATCAGAAAGAGATGCGTCTCCGGTATCAGGGCGAACTCCTCCTCGATCATGTCCACAGCTTCGTGCGGATTTGTCGGGCTGATGCCGGCGTCCAGTATTTCACTGGTGATGCTGTCCAACATGTCCTTGATCGTGAGACTGGGAAAGAAGCCATTTACCACCAGAACCGTCTGGCGGGCAAGGACCTCGTGGTGGAAGGACTGCAGCAGCTGCCGCTTGGAGCCGAGCCCGTAAAGCAGGATGTTGAATCCCTCGTTTAGAATGCACATCCATTTGGGAAAGTACGAGCGATACTCCTCCATGATGGCATTGATGGCAGTCTCGTGCTCCGCAGACACTTTCATTTCGGAGAGCAGGCTGAACAGACGATCGGCGGCCAGCCGGGGATTCTTCAGTCGATCCAGGGTGTGGTCCGAGGTGAGAATCTTGCTGCTGGCATGCGAATGGAAGTAGCCTTCGCTCTCTGGCACAAACTCATTCGACTTTTTGGCCCGCGCCGACTGGCGGAGACGAGCCGCTGAAGGAGTCTTGGGCAGGACGGGCACGACGATCGCGCGGCGCGTCTTGCAGGGTGTCTTGGGCTCATCGTCGGCGGCATCGTTGTCCGAGGAGTTCTCATCACTGCTGCTGCTACTGCTGCTAGACGAAGACTCCTCGCCGCTGGGCCGAAAGTCGCTCTCGTCTCCAGAGAAATCCTCATCGGAGTCGGCCACAATCTTGGCAATCTCTGAAAGGGAATCGCTTTTAGTGAGACATCATGAAATATTAGCCGAGTACTCACGATTCTTGACACGGCTGCGCACATGGGACGGCGTCTTTGGCTGCTCTGTGGGCTTCTTTCGCTTGGTATCGGGCGTCTTGACGCCCAAGCGAGGCGTCTTTGGCGTCTTGGGTGTACGCGGCATGGCATTGAGAGCTGCCAAAGCCATGGCATCTCGCTTTTTGGGCGTGTTGAACCCGAATAGACTGGTGCCGGCCACATTGTGCTCTGACTGGATTAGGTTCAGGTCTGGCCTGATGGGCCTGGCCACGAGTTCCGCCTCGCCGTCGCCAACCTCCTCCAGCTCTTCCCCGTTGCTCTCCTCATCGGTGCACTCCACATAGTTGACCACAATGTGCTCGCGCTCTTTGTCCTGGTGCTGGTCCTTGCTCTTCTGCTGATACGCCTGATACTTTTTGGTAGGACTGGGCTTGCGTGCGGAGCGTCGAGTGACTGGATGGGACTGCTCCTCTTCGGATCCGCCTGCATCATCCTGTACCACCAACGCCGTGTCCAGGTCGGCGGCAAAGTCATCCTCCGAGTTGGTTAGATTCTCAATGGATTTCTGTTTTCTCGGTTTCTTTTGCTTCTTGGGTGTTCTGTAATCACCATGATTTTTGGCGCTCATTGTTAAATTATTACCAACTACAACAATTTGAAAACGAAATAGTTAAATTTTTGTTGATCAAAACAAAAACAGCACAGAAGAAGCGGGAAACCATCGATGACACTATCGATAGTATCGAAACATTGGTGCGCCCGTGACAATTGCATCCCTGTGTAGTTGTCATGTGAAAATTTGATCTGTATCGATTCATCGATCGCAGAGTTATCGTTTTGCCTTCTTTCCGTTGCGTCCGTTTTTCTCCTCTTCGCTTTGTTCGACCTAAAATGCGTGATTTTTGGAGTAAAGTGGAGTTAAAGTTGAAAACTTGAAGAAAACGTAATAGCAGTCCGCAGGGCGCAGGAGTATTTTAAGCTTAGAAAACATTGATATCTGTGCATCGGCATCGCTTAAAGCATTGCACACATTCATATATACAGTCCAAAAATATATACCCCGACATCGAAAAATCAGAGCGCTGGTGACTGATCATATTATTTCGTGAGTATTGGCCGGCAACAAGTCGACGCCACACGTTAACCGTTAGGTCCGCCATGTTGATTTTGCATTCTCTTTCGTCTTCTTATATGTATGCATACACATGCATGTGTCTTTTTTTGCGTATCGCAGCGTGGAAATTTTTGTTCTCGAATTTTTCATTGACTGATTTGTATTTGTGAGGATGAATACCGTTTCTGCTGATATGTATTGTGCAGTTTGCGGCACTTCCAGTGTATTTTTGTGCGAGCGATGCCAGGAGCCGTATTGCAGCAGAGATTGTCAAAACGCGGATTGGCGACGCCACAAATTTTACTGCATCCCCATGCCGTAAGTAGCTTTGCTGAGATCTGTATTTTCCATGCGTACATGTATGTGTGCTATTTTTAGTGTGTTGGTGCCGAACAAATATGCGCAGGGCTTGCAAGAACATCCACTGGTCTCCAGCCCAAAGATTGAGAATCAGTCAAATAATAAAGAAGCGGCGTCCGTCTCCAAGCCAGTCAAGAGCGTCGAATCGGCGGCATCCGTGGACTCTCCGTCTACCGCCATAGTGAAAGAGAAAAAGGAACTGTCTTCTGTGTGGCGTGAGACATTTTTGCCGCCGCAAGAGGACTTCTTCGAGTGCCGTGTGACGTACATGAAGTCTGACGGCGTCATCTGCGTAGTGGATGTGGCCAATATTGAGCTCATGGAGCGTTTCAACGAGAACATGCAGCGCGTCAAGCCAAGGCTTTCCCGAGCAAAATGTGTTGAGGAGGACTCGCTGGTTGTGGTCCAAGGCGAAAAAAAACTCCATCGGGGACAGGTGCTCTCTATGGACCGGAAGTCTGAGAGTGCGCAGATTTATCTGATAGATCATGGGTCCGTGGTCACTTCTTCTGTGCAGGAAATCTACGATCCGGTTTCTCGCATCGCAGATAAAAAAGCGTTTGCGATTCAGGTGAAGCTGCTGTCGAACACGGGCGTGCAGACCAACAAGCATCTAACGCTGCGCTTACTGGGCCCCAAAACCCAGGAAGGCATCTACCCGGTTCAGCTGAAGCCCAAAATGACGATTCCGCTCAATTTGCCGATTGAGCTGCTGCAGATGAGCCCGGAGGTGACTGTGGCCAGGATCCTTGAAGGTTGTCTGCAGCGCGACGAGAAGCCAGCTGCCCTGCTCCAAATATCAACGATCAACCAGATCAATGACGCCATGGGTGACAAACTGAACGGCAAACCAGACCAGCAGCAGCCAATCTCTCTCAGCCAATTAGACACGTGCACAACAATGTTTTTGGCCGCTCACACCAAGCAGGGCTACCGACGTGCATTTCTGCTGGACTTGATTGACGCGCCGCCGAAACGTACTTTCCTGGTGTACGAGATGGACGAGGGTCGCATCTCTATTACCACTGACGTGTGCCGCATTCCCAGCGAGCTGCTCGGTCATCCCATTCAGACATTTGCCATGAAGCTGAACGACGAAATGCAACAGCCGCCGCTGGAGCAACTGGTGGAGGACAATGGTCCCGATTTTACTGTCAAACTACGCCTGAAGAGCATCCAAGGCCAGGAAAAGGTGCGGAAGGCCAGTGCCGCCTTGCTGTCCAAAGGAAAGCAGCTAGGCGAAGTGGAGCTGACAACGTTCATGGGTGATGTGTCCTATTTGGGCCACAAGTACTGGCGTGAGACGATTAAGAACGGCACCATGGTTCGCATAACCTACAATGTCGGCTACAAGCACGTCTTCATCAGCTCCATGGAGACCCTGCAATATGCAAGCCTCTTTAAGCGCATGGAAAATATGTGCAAACCCTTCGAGCAGTCGGACCAGATCACGATTGGCTCCATTGTGCTGGTGGCGAGTCCCAAACTGGGACACTTCCGTGGCGAGGTAAGCCTAATATTGACATGAAATAAATACAACATTATAATCCCATCTTTACAGATATCTGGTGTTGCGAACGACCTCTTCCGTGTGTACAACATTGATACGGGCGCCACACACCAGGTGGAAGCGCAGTTCCTGCGCATGTCCTGTCGATTTCTGCGCGACATGCCCGTAAGCCTGTCGCGCGTCAAACTAAAGTCAGTGTGCGATATTCCGGAATGTGCAGTGAACCCAATCAATGCAGGGTGTCAACTGATGAAGCAGATCATGACCGATAACGTTCAATTTCGCGTCGAGTTTGTTGGCTCAAGCACTGAACTCGTGGACTTGTATTTCTGCTCAGGCGAGCCGACTTCGCTGACTCTTCGAATGCTGCCGCTGATGTTTAAGCCCGTTTCGATGTACTCCCTGGAAGTAGCTACTTCAGATCCAGCTCCTGCTTCTGCTCCTGCACCGGCTGCGGCTCCTGCTTCAGCAGCTATACCAGAAGGACTCAAGGTCAAGACGACGCCTCCAGCTGCGTCTGAAACGGTTGAAGACCTTCCACCTTTGCCGCCATCGCCCCCAGTTTCCCCCGAAATCGAGACTAAAGGGTCAGAAACACTCGAACGTTTCTATTACAAAGACGTGCCAAAGATTCTTATTCCACTGGGCAAACGCGTCAATGCGTTCCTCCTGAATGGATCGGGACTCCATCAGACTGGTGCTATCACCGCCTGTCACTTTAAAGACGTGACTGAGGCCGCAAGCTATCAGAAATTGTTTAATTTAGTTGATAGCCTTGGAAAGTGTTCGTACCCAGACCTTATCGACTATGTGCCTTGGTAAGTCCTATACCAAACAAACAAAGCCTACAAGTAATCCCATATTCCCGCACAGTATTGACGAAATGGTCCTGGCCGTGTTCAGCGAGGATAATAATTGGTATCGCGGCGTTTGTGAGGAGATCATCGGCGATAAGGCTCGCATTTTCTTCTGTGACTATGGCAACCATGAGCTGGTTTCAATGAAAAAACTCAAGCCCATGAGCTCCAATTTGATGCAGGCCATCAATGCGACCAAGTGCTACATTGAGGGTTTGTGATATCTTAAAAAAAAACACCCGCTTAATCGTTGTTAATCGCTCGTTTTTTCCAGGTTTCGACAACTCGGAAAAGTTCAGTCTTTGGGAGAAGCATATTAAGACGGACTTGAATATTCTGTGCCGCGTCGAGGAAGGCCCCGACTCCAACTCGCGTACCCTTACCATACTCGATCTGGACAAGATCGTGTCCCAAAAAACTTCTTAACTCGTTCTCTAGTTTTACCTTAAGACAACAGGGATCGCGTTCCTTCATTATTATCCCTAGTAATAAGTGTTAAGTACACCCATGTGTACGAGTAGAGTTTTTCCAAAATGTTTTTGAAAACATTCGTTTTTGTTTTTTTTTGACTTGGCACGTCCTACGTAGATGATCATTTAATACATATATCAATAGATACTTCGATACATTCCACAACATATATCTTTCAATTACAACACTTATAATGAGATTACAACAATAACAACATTCATTGTTCGGCCAGCTTGGCGAGGAGCACCTCCATCGCATCAACGTTGCGCACGGCGATAATGCCAGTAGCATTTCGCTTCCAATCGGATCCTGAATCCTGCATCAGGTACTTTAGGGGCACTGTCTTCAGCTCCGCCACGCTCGCACCATAGTCGAAGACATCACCGCCCAGAGCGCGTAGAATCGCTTGCGGCGCACAGGTGTCCCACTTGAAGGTGGATCCCTTGCTGAGGAGATACACTTCCACCTCACGGGTGATGACTTTCAGGGCCTTGTGTCCAGCGCCTGCCGAGAATGCGAACTCGTAGCCCAGGTCAAGGAATCGCTGTAGTATATCCGACTGCTCAGAGCTGGAGAATATGGCAAGCTGCCGATGCTCGTCCCGCGCCTCAAAGTTACAGTTGTGGGCCTGCAGGCTGGGCAGGCAGATGCCCCAAAACATCGAGGAGCTGTACACGTGCTCGTCCAGCTTATTGCCAAAGGGCTGGGCAACGACTCCGATCACGGGAATTCCGGTGTCACGTTCATAGACGCCGATCAGAACGGTCACACAGTCCAGGCCAGTGGAGGTGATGCCGGGAAAGTTGGTGAACATCGTATCGCCCGAGATGTACTCTGCGGTGGCGTCTGCAAGCAACAAAGCATTAACAATTGCCAGGGGCAGGCATGTCCACCTACGTACCAATTGGATCGATCCATATGCCCAGATTGGCATAATCCAACTCCTCGGGCAGCTCCGGAATGTCGCCCAATGTGCCACTCTCAAAGTTGACTACGCGATGCACTTCGTCTGCCAGTGCGCTTGCTGCACTTTCATGTCCACTGAGTACCGCCTCCAGGCAAGCGGTGGTGTCCGATTCACAGGCCCCCACAGCCACTGTGACACTCTCCCCCAGCTTGTTCGTAAAGTTTGGTGATTCTTCGCCGAGTATGGCGTCCTTCATCTCTGGAAAGACCGCGCCCACCTCGTGCTTGATGGTCTCCTGGATGAGCACATCGGCCAGCGTTTTAAAATCGTGCTCGAACCGCTCGTTGGCCTCTCCTTCGCTCTTTTCTTGGACGAGCAGTGACAGCAGCTGTTCATTGGCTCGACATGTCCT